CCTTTACCACTTAGCCTATATTATTAATTAGTAACCTTAAAGTACCTATATTTGGACTTTTCACTTAAAAAGTAAGAGAACAATAATAAAGAAGCGGGTAGTTGGAATTTTGAGTGTCATGCCCTCCCCGTCTCTCTCTCTCTCCTCTCTCTCAACACCTTGCCTTACCCTTCTCTCTCTGTTGTATGGATCACTGCTCCAAAACAATAGTCTTCTTCCACATATCTATCAGCAGTGGTCCTTCATCCACTATTGGGCCCATTGCATCCCTACGTCTTATTTGCCCTGAGATCACCTCCATTGTAACACTTACTATCACCTACAAATTTTCCATATACCTCTGCAACCTAAAAGACTAATCTTGTAAAACCCCTAAAACATTGCCATGATTCCATGGTCATCAAGCTTTGATTACTTCCAATTTTAGTAAATTTGGAGCATATGTGCTGCCCAAAATTTAATCTTCGACAATAACCCCAAATTATGTAAAAATCATAACGTGACACAAAACACGAATCTTAACTCTAAGATCCTTGAGAGCTCCTAACTGGTTTGCAAATGAGCTTTTGAGAGGTTTTCCAACTAATTTTTGGGCGATTTTGCTGGAGATGTTCTCTGTGAAAGCAATTTCACTCACTTGGTTTCAACGGTTTTGAGCATCGAATTGAAGGAGTAGGAGGAGCCCGCCATTACCTTTCCACCGTCGCATCCTTTCTCTTTGACCCTCTAAATAGAAATCATTTTGTAGAATTGTGATTGTCTTGAAAAACGAGTCTTTTAGACCCAAAAGGCAAAAAACTAGGCTTGTTCTTTTTTAAAGGTCTAAAAAAAGGGGTAAAGCTATGAGGCAAGGAAGTGAAGAGATAGATGGGGGGTGGGGGGAGAAGGGCCAGAAGTTGAGAGAGAAGGGGAGGGCCAGATGTTGAGAGAGAGGGGGAGGGCAATATGTTGGGGAGGGAAAGATCCTTAAAATTTAAACTTCTTTCTTTCCTAGTATCGTTTTTCAGTTTTTGAGGCGCAAGTCTAAAATGTCCTTGTACAAAGGCTTTTAGTTCTAATAATATGTGCGCAATGGAAGTAAAAAAATGGTTCACAAGTAATTCTAACTTGAACTCATGTTTTTTTTGGGTTGTTAAGCATAGAAAATCCCTACATACACACAAATTTAGGTGGTGACTAGGATGACTTCAAAAATCAAAATAATGAAGACAAAGGAAATTGTTTGCTACTTTATTTTGAAATATAACAAACTAAGAGTACGTTAAAATAAGCCCTACTAGTTATGTTAAATGAAATAGAGTAGAGAAAGGGAAAAGCATACGTAGTATGGCATGTTGCACGAAACCTTGAGCAGTAAGAAGTTAATATCTGACTGATTTGAGTGGAGGCATGTCTCCACGATGATAATATTAGACTGAATTGAAGTAGATCAAAGGGATACTTAAGGTGAATTGGATGGATTAAGGTGTATGATTTGTCATAGTGTGGAAGATAATTGATATGTATAGGTTGGTATGTGACAAGTATTGGGGCTTTCAAGCCCAACTTGACATGTCATAGTGTGTGGGAGATAATTGATTTGTATAGGTTGGTATGTGACAAGAATTGCTGTTTTCAAGCCCAACTTGGGTGAAAGTATGAAATTTGAACTTTAAGCATTCAAAGGTGGGGAGAAAAAAAAAGAGATGTGGGAACCTAGTATAAAGAATTTGAGCATAATTATGTAAGGGCTGAGTAGGGAAACTATCTAGTTGGGGGTCTCATAGGGACATAATTATGATTATTATAACTTCCTAAGGCTAGTTAGGGTTAAAGATGACTATCAGATTTGTTTTCAAGGATATGAGGGCATAGAGATGGGTTGCATGCGTCTAATTTGAGACCCAAGTGGAGTTTTTATTGTTCGAGGTCAAAAGGTGTTGGTTTCAAATGAATGACTTCATGATCAACATAGACGCAGTTAAGGGGCTCAACACAGGTCCCTAGGTGGTGCAATACGACGGTGGCATGAAAATTGAGGTGTGGCACATGTTGTTCCATGTTTTGGACATAGTATATCGGATTTTTTAAAGAGTAATGATCCTATGAGACCTTTCCACACCTCAAGAACATGAGACCCCAATTTGCAACAGTTAGATCTCAATGGGCTGTCAAGTCAATAAAAATGTTACCTAGGGATCCCGTCAGCCAGTGATGCATTGAAATCAAAAAAATAAAATACCTCTTCAATTCTCTCTCTCTCTCTCTCTCATTTCTCAATCCCACTCTTCATCAGCCATGACCAAGCCAATTTCTCGTCCGTCGTCTCTAATTTCTATCAGTCATGAGCAAGCCAATTTCTTGCCTCAATTTTCTATCTCTTCTAACCTCCATTAAATTGGGTTTTGATCTTCTAGTGAGTTAAATGGTAACCATTTACGAATTTCTCTCTATCTCTCTATATAAATGAATGAGTTTGTGCATCAAAAGCTGATATTTTGAATCTTCTTTGTCCTCTATTGTGTATGTTTTGCTATCTTTATGTCTCATTTAAGGCAAAAGAAATGTTTTCTCTTCATGTCTCTCTACGATTGTGAATTTTGGTCTAGAATAAACGGCATGAAAGCCTCGTTGCATGTGCTTCAACCCTCTAACTGGCCTAAACAAATTAAACATTATACCTTTTAAGCTTTTCCACTCGCTCTCTATGATTCTAAGGTTTGAATCTACAGATGTGACTCTATAACTCGGAAGAAGACGAACAGGAAGCAATGACCCAATACCCTTATAACTCGGAAGAAAACAAAGAGGAAGCAATGACCCAATACCCCATGAAGTAACAATGAAGAGAACTAAAACAACCCCAACAAGGACCAGATGCAAGAAAGAGGAGGAAGCTGAGGGGCCGACCAGCAGAAGAACAAGTTGAACCCATATATCTACCTCTCTTCTCTTTCTGCCACCAGATTTCTCTCTTCCTTTAGTTGTCTTTACATTTCCTAACCTCATCGTTCCGCCTCCTCTGATTTCATCTCTCTCAATGCATCACTCCGTTGTTTTTTAATGTTTACTTGCCCCTTCTTTCTCCTTCTTTGTCTCCTTTTCTCTCCATATACAAGGCATGCTGCAAATTAGCATGCCTTGTTTCACTCTAAATGGCACTTTTTTTAGTTGCATGAAGAGAAAAAAATGCTAGAGGTAGGAAAAAATATGTGACCCTCAGGAGAAGAGAAATAAGAACACTAGGCCTTCCGATATAGAATGATAATGGGTAAGAGCTATGGGAGAAAGAGAGAAGCTGCCTTGTTAGAGAGAGCAGCGTGCAATGAGAGGTCTCAAAGAGAAGTGGGGGATGTCAAATAGGGGTAGAGCAAGGACAATAATAGAGAGGGAGCAAAAGAAAGGACATAATTTGAGATATTAAAAGCCTTTTTCTCTTGGAGCGTGTGGAGCGCGTGCTCGATGGTTTTCCCTCTTAAACCGTGTGCTTTACCTGGTCACCAGGTATCATCTGAATTGTTTGGGAGCCATCGAATCCAACAGTTAAGGTTTGGGGTCTCATGCTCTTGGGGTGTGAGAAGGTCTCCTAGGATCATTATTCTTCTTTAAAATATGGCTATAATTTTCAAACGGTACATATGATATGCACGTATGCGTGCATTTGTCCGTACGGACAATACCTCTTTTTAGTGTTTTTGAGGGTATTTCAGTAATTTAGATCCACATTACCGCATTATGTGTGATGCAATGATTATGTGTGATCTACGATAGGATTTTATAATCACTAATAATAAATCATCATAGAGTGTCCATGCTAAGGTTTAAAAAAATGTAAACTCGAATCAGAATCAACCAATTTGGATAAAAAATCATAAGAGACGAATCAAGCCCACAAAATAGATTGGCCGGTCCCCAAATGACATGGCCGGTTCTCTGACAAAATTGGGCCACATCACCTAATTTCAAATTATTTTTATTTATTATTGTTTTATTTTTCAAAAAACATTTAATACATTTATCACACCTTCAGCCCTATGCCGCATTAGAACGCCTCTTCATCGAGACTCGTTTTTAAAAATAGTATCTTCTTCCTAGTTTCCTTCCCACAAGATTGATGTGAGACAAAGGGCTCGTTTGGATACCTGGAAATATATTGTCTGAAATACATTGCTGACGTAATACATTACTATGTAATATATTACCTACAAATAGATTGTTACTGTTTGGGTAGTATTTAAATGCAATTTGAGAAATACATTGCTTTTGTTTGGCTACGTTTGAAAAAAATATGGGAATGCATTACCAACATGTTACCAACCTGTAAACTATCATTTCTTTCTTTTTTGTCACAAAATTCCACTTAAGTGCGGAATTGAAGTCAACATTACACCATTCCAAAAAGATTTTCCAATAATGATAGCATCACCCTTCTAGAGAGAGAGAGAAAAATAAATAAATGTATTAATAATCATCATTCCAAAAGATAGAAAGAGTGCAAAACATTGATCTTAATCATCACCATTTTAAAGAGAGAATGAGAACGTGAAATTGTTATTGTTTCAACAAGATTTATTAATGTTATCACATATATAGAAACTGATAGAGAAGTTCATCATCATCCACCAAGAGAGAGAGATGATGTATGTGTATGCGTGTTAGAGAGTAAGTACAGCAATTCAATAACAAAAATTCTCAAGTCCAAAACCCATCTTGGTCAAACAAAGAGAGAGAGGAACCACTTAAAAAAATGTGTAGATTTCACTCCACTTTACATGTCACCACCTTCTTGAAAATATTTCGAGTTAATCCAAAACACCCGGTCTTCTTCAATCATTTCTAAGAATCCCTCACTAATATTTACGTCTTCCATTATTTTATTTTATGCTTGCATGAAAGGTCGAGCAAGGCCGTGGACCTGTTTAAGAGCTCTGCGGACCTTTCATATATGTGGGTTTGCTTTTGGTTTCCTCAACTCTACAGTTGAGGTACCAATTTCTTTCACGGCTACACCTAGTGACTCTACAGTGTCAACCATGGTTTTCTTTTTCTTTCTCGATGGCATAAATGATGTTGATTTCTCGAATGGATTGATTGGACCGGTGTCTCTGGGAAGTCCTCATCATCACCTATTTCCTCAACACCATCACCATCATCTAAGCCTACAATCGTCTCTCGAACATCCTCAACATCATCAATGTCCCTCTCTAGTTGTGCTGCCGTCCTGACACCAGCACGCTCGACAAAATCATTGCCGACAATTATGCTCAGCTCCTTCCAGTATTCAAAGGACTTCCCTTTGAAGTTCTTTGCAAGCGCATTAGACTACAAGACAAATATAATATGCATTAACTTAAATAACTAATTTACATTTTTCAAAATAATAAAAAATTAGATAGATGAGAAACATGCACATACCATTACGCAGTCATCCCATAAAAATTCATCGATAATGGCCATATGTGATTCTTCATTCCATCCAAAGCCACTTTGATGCTTCATTTTTTTTTACAGTCTTATAGTTCTTTAACAACGTTCTAAGTTTATTCTTAAAAACGTCTTTTCTCAAATTCATTCCAAGATTGACATTGAACTTCTGCTCAATTGCACTCCATTGCTCATTTTTTAAAGTTGATTCGGGCTTCTTAATGAGCAAGCATTGCTCAACAAGTAGCTCCAACAAAATTGTCTCCATTTTTTAAGTCCGTTTAAGTTTCCTCCCTGTCTTGGGATTTGATCGAGTCATTGGAATTTCATTCGTCATGTAATATGAGTTATTAAATATCACTATCACATCAACTATTAAAAAAAAATTCACATGGAATGCATTCATCTAGTAAATGAGAAACATTACTACCATGAATGTCAAACATTTAGACATGACCTTACATCCAACAACAAGATCCAGTCACAAATTCACAATTTGACAAAATGTATATTCACTACAATTATGTTATTGCATGAATATTTTTAACCAAAAAGTACATAAATGTAGCCCCCAAAGATAAGCTAAAATCTTCAAATCCCTCTTATGACATTGATAAGTATTGTAATCACGATGCCATGGCAAAAGAAGAACTACTTATGTGATAAAGAAGAAATGCTGATGTGATATCCAAATTATAGTTATGATGATAATGATACCAGCACAAGAAAGCCTAGAAGTTTTAGATTAGTTAAGAATTGGAAAAGTACAATTCTAAAGGACAGCATGGTTTTCATGCCAGCAATACATTTTTTTTAGGTACAATTCTGCGTTGTCAATTCGGCCTATACATCTCTCACTCTCTCAATCCGGGTTTCTTAAATAAAAGTTGACTAAACATTAGAAAGGCATCTACACATAACGAGATTTCTTCACCAATGTCTCTCTCTTTGTGCATGTGGAGACACCCGAAAAAGTAACATGACCATAAAAAAGAAGCAGCTTATCCCCAATCCACTGCTTTGTAAACAATGAATAGGTCTCTCCAAATTAATAGGAACCCAAGCCTAATTTTAGTTATCATGTGCTTCTAATATAAATATTTAGCTATTAGTGTGTTTCTAATATAGATATATAGTGCGTTTCTACCATAGACGTCGGTACTTTCTGGAGAATTTCATGAAACGGTCTTATAGCAATTTCTTGGGTGCCTGGTATTGGGATGCTGACTCAGAGGCACATTAACAACTCAAAGCCATAATTCATGACAAAAATTCACAAGAGAGAGGACTGTTATAGGGCTTTTTTCTGTCAAGGACCAGCATGAATCCTCATAAGCTACCAATGAATAAGTTTTGACCTCATCTATGGGAATGATTGACATTCTTCATGTTAGTTTACAACGAGTAATAATGCAATGGCATGCATGGAAATTTACAACTATGAACTGATTCAAAAAATTATATATTTCATGAACAAATAAGTCTTTCATAATCCAAATTGTTGTTAATTCCCTTAAGAGATAAAATAACTTGTAAGCTGCTGAACCGATGTGCCACTCAAGCAAAACTGTCTAACCAGCCTAGGACATCTCAAGGTCACTTCTAAAGGCTGGGGAAATAACATTAAAGTCGAAACTATCAGCTTTCACATGAGACACTTAAAGATAACAGTGAACCCTTTAAGAAATAACAAGATAAAACCCCCTATTGTATTTCACAAAATCATGTTATAGGCATGACTTGCATAACCAGATGTTAGCTCAATGGCTTGGCCTCTAAGACAGCTTAAGTCAAGTACAACAAAGTAGATGGAATATCCTGCTACCCCACCTATAAAAGAACTCTTTATTCACACTGTAGCATGCATGAAGCAACAGTCATGAAAATCACTCAATATTTCAGATGACAAATTTCTATCTTTTTTCCTTTTTGATAGGTTATCTCAAACTTCAAACTCACAACCACTATCTAACAAACAAAAACTAATTAATCAAAGAACCCAAAGATTATAAAGATAGATAGTGCAACAATTACATGAGATTCACGTCAGTTATATGTTCAAGACTTGAATCAACACCAAGGAAAAGACATTATTGAGTCTCCAAATTCTATCCTATTCATAAAGTCATAATAAAATTTAATTGAAGTAAAGTAGCAATAAAGTCATAAAAGATATGATCCGACACGAACCGATCCATTATAGCAAGAACATAATAAGAAAAACAGCAGCAAGTCTAAAAAGTTAAGAAATTCACAACACACAAAACAAGAAAAAACTATCAAAATCAAAATGAACAGCAATCACACATATAATGTAACTTGCAAAAAGTAAAGAACCAATCAGAACATGTAACCAAATTGTGTTAACTCAAAAATGAACAACAATAAGGCATAATTTAACTTGCAAAAGCTTAAAAAAAAACCAAAACTTGTAGCCAAATTGTATGATATTGACCGAATACAACCTTATGCAAATCCATCAAACTCTAGAAGTTAAAAGGATACTAAAAAGGCAGCCCTCCCACCAATCAAGTATGTTAAAGGTAGAATAACCTATTTCATGGTTCAGGGAAACATTGATGGAAAATAAACCCATCTTAGCCTAAGGATACAACTAAAAGGCAACAACAACTTGAGTGAAAAGTAATCTAGAAAATAATTCACATAATAATCATAGCTCACTATGAACATACCATTAATGGTAAAAATACCAAAAATGCAGAAAATTTGAAGAAAAAAATAAAAAACTAAACAACAAACCTGTTAATGATTCTTCAGTTAAATGAGTAGAATAAACCAACTTGACCATGTTAAAATTGGGCATTGGTATAATCTCTTTAACAAGAAACCCTATTAGATTTGGGGATTCTCTATACCAAAACCAACGTTAACAACAAAACCTTGTTAAAGTTCTAGAGAGAGAATGAAACCCCCAACCAAAATGTCGAGAGATAGACCAAAATAATCTCAAAGTTCTAAAGAGACTCAGACCTATCTAAAGATTCAATAATATATAGAGACAACATAAAATGTGGCTGAGCTCTCAGAAACTCTAGAGAGAGAAACAAAAGACCAAGACCAAGAGAGTACCTGGTGTCGAAGCGTTAGAGCGCTCGCTTTGAGTTCCAATTTTCCTCAAAAGTTGCAGCTTAGGGGCTTGATAAGAGAGAGATAGGGAGGAGAGAGAGTGCGAGGTGGTGGGCTTACCAGAGGGAAAACGGCGAGCATGAGAGAGGGAGAAGGGTTTTGGCGTACCGCGCGCGTAAACGATCATCGGTGGCGTTCTTTATTCGAGGAAATGGCATGTAATTTCATTTATAACGCATTTTTGTGGTGTTTGGATCAAAATTTTGGGATTGAAATTTATTTTTTGGCTAGATTTTTTATTTCCGGCTAGATTTTTGTGTTATCGAGACAACCAGTTTATAAAATATAATTAATTCAACAAAAACACACTATGTATTAAAAATAGATATTGTCTCAAATTTTACTTTTTAGAGTGAAAAAGTATTTTAAAATTTGAAGGAGAGCAAAACACATAAATTCTCTCAAATGTATTATTTTTTAATTTTATCCATTTTTGTCTTGTTACTCATCCACCTCAACAACTTTATGTCACTTACACTCATTTTATAGGTATGTTGTTTTTTGACCGCCCAATATTTCGTTCTATAAAAGCAAAGTTGGTATTACAACTGTCCTATAGAACTTGCCTTTCAATTTCATTAATATGCACCAATCACATAAAACTCAAGCTACGTATCTCCACCTCGCCCACCCAGCTCTAATTCTATATGCGACAGAAGAAAGTATTAATAAAATGGTCAAACCACCTAAAAAAAATCACCGTGATACTTAAACTAACTAATATATTACCAAGCATTTACTTTACTAAAATATTTTCCCTTAGGTACCTTCTCAGACATTTTGCTAAGGAGATCAAGTTGCCCTTGTTTTAGGACTGAAGTCCAAAATAAGCTGGAGGTATTTTTGGTCATTTTATTTGATGGACTCAAGTGAACATACGTACCTAAATCTCTCCATTTGTTTCGGGTTCCAAAACATTTATGATATTTTAATAAAAAAAACGCATAATCTTGGTTTGAAACTCAAAATAAGCAAAGGAGTATTGTCATTTGGCTCAAGCCACTAAACTAAGGCCAAATTACTAAAATGCCTCCTCTTAGTTATTCTAATATGTAATGAATGTTTTGAGTGTGGAAGCATAATAAGAAATGCTATTAGTGTGATTAGGCTCGACCATCTAAAGTGAGACCACCATTATCATCATTATCCAAGCCCTATTCAAATTATTTGGGGCCAGCTAACCCTCTAAAGTGAGACCAATTTGTAAATTGTCCTTGCTTGTTTTGGGTTCTCACTGTTTAGGTATATTTAACAAAATATTGTTACTTTTTATATTATATGATCATTATAAAAATATTTTAGGATTGTATGCTACAAGACTATTTATCTTTGTTATAAGGAGGTCACAATTTCTACTAGCCATTAGATGTCAAATTCGATGGCTCGAGGTATGACACAAAGTTTGAAAATTTATTTTTTTGAATTTTGAGACTAGTCAACGATACACTCACAACCACCTGATTTGAGATCGGATAGACAAGAGCAATTTTAACCCCTTTTTAAAAGTATATGCTCTTTTTGTAAACTTTTACAAATATCTTTCTTCTAAAAAGAATGGATAGGTTTGAAAGATCGGGGAAAGTATTCCATGTTATCATCCGGAAGTTTGCCAATTTCTTTTCCCTTGGGAAGTCATCCGTTGAGTGTAGGAAGAGCCACACCCTGTTGTTTAGGGCTAATAATGAGTTGGACCGGGTCCAAATCCAACAAGATCCGGAATTGGATCCAAGAAGTATAGATGGGATCTAGATCTTGATAAGCATAATATTTGAATATGGATCCAAATACAAAAAGTATATATGAGATTTGGATCTGGATCCATCCCAATTAGATCCAAAAAAAATAAAAAATAAATAAATAAATATATATATATATATAAAATAATATGAAAAATACTATATAACATATATGTCTATATATAAAATAATATATAATATTTTAATAACAGGATTGGATCCAGATTAAATCCACATTTACCAGGATCAAATCTAGATTACTATTCACATCCAACTTTTGGATCTGGATTTGTCCCATTTTGGATCATATCCAAATCCAAATAAGATTCAAAATTCAGGTTTCAGATCCAAATCGGGTAAATTCTCAACCTTATTGCCCTCATAGGGATGAGATGAAGTGGTAGGACCAGTGTTTTAAAAATCGGCGAGTCGAACCGGACTCGCCCGGTTCGACTCGGGATCCGACCAGCCCGTGCCGGTTCCATCATAAAATTGGGAACCGCCCGGTTCTAGAGAGAACCGCCAGGTTCTCATCCGGTTCAGCCAGTTCACGCACGTGCTCTCATTCGTCCGTGCGCGCTCACACGTGCAAGGTTGCCGATTCACTGTATAGAATCGGATGGTGACGTCATGTCTCGGCATATATGATGTTTTCAAGGGTAATTGGGATATTTGTCTTAAAAAGACAGGTAATTTTCGATATTGTTGGACGGGAGTACCACAATCATATATAACCACGTGTTACCCCATGTACCGTTCGCTCGCACGCTGTTGAAGAGCTCAACCTCACATCTTTTATAAACTTGGAAGTCGCTTTGATATTTCCGATGTGGGACAATTCCCACTTGCCTTCAACAGCGTGCAAGCCATCGTCGCACAAGCTATTAATTATTGCAAGCCATTATCCATATGTGTAGCGTTTTAATTTAGCGTGTCAAATTAATAGCACTAATAAACGGCTATATAAAATTAAAAAATAAATTAATAGCACTCATTAATTTAATGTGCCAAATTAAAAAATAGCCATATAAATTTTTTTGATGTTTATTAGTAAAATAGTTTTTTCGATGGGTTTTATTACAATATTTTATTTTTTTTTTATTTTTTTGTAGCTATTGTGCATATTGCCGATAGGATTTTTTTTTGAATTTTGGCATCTTTATTTTTCATTTTTTTGGGTAAAGTTATTTTGAATCTTTTAATATAATTACATTAGAATTTATTGGTTGTTTTATTTTTAATTTTAGTCGTATGATATGGAAGCCTCTTCTAATAATTTTTTAATCACTTTTCAATTAGATAATATTCTAAAATATTTTTAATTTGTTATTATTTTTCTAATAAAATAATTATAAAATGTAAACTAATAATTATAATTTCAGTATATAATATTATAATTAGTTAAGTTGTAATAATTTTGGATTATAGTTAGTTAGGTTGTAATAATTTAAGTTTTTTTAGCGGATTAGGGTTTTTCGCCAAAACAAGATTTTAATGGCCATTCTTTCATTGATTAGTCTACACTTTATAATAGTCCATGTATAATTATATATTTTATCCATGATAATTCTATGATTTTTTTTTATGTGATGCAAATTTAATATTTAATTTAAGTTTATACAGGGTAAAAGCATCTCAATATATACAAATTGGTGAGAAAAATGAAAGTTAATAATATAATACCCTCATTTCTTATTGGATTCCTAAAAAAAAACATTTATAATGAATTTTAATCATTTTTTCGGATTTTTTTGAAGCTTTAATCCGACCGATTCAGCCGATTCTCGATCCGGATCGTCGATTCACTGATCCGAATCGATTTTTGAGTTGTCCGATCCGGGTCACCGATCCGTTTTTTAAACCATTGGGTAGGACTATGTGGGAAAATAAAATGATAGCACAAACATATATTTATTAAACACAAACTGCTTGCTAACATACGATCCATCATAAGGTGCTTTTACTTTCCAAGGTTTCAAATATTGCTGACCTGGATCTAAAATGTTGCAATTGATATGGTTTTCATCATATATCGAGAACTGGCCAACTCCCCTCTTGAACCGACCAACTGGCTAATAGATTTGGTTGGTCTTATCAAGAATCGGTAGGTTTTGTTAAAAAACAGAATAGGGTTGGCAGGTCTTGTCAGGAATTAGGCAGAATTGGATTGGCCAGTCTTGTCAGAAATTTGGCAGAATTAGGTTGGCTAGTCTTGTCAAGAAATATAATTAGGGTCTAAAATGGTCGGTCTCGTCAGGAAGTGGGCAGAATTCGGTTGGGTAGTTTTGTCAGGAAACATAATTAGGGTCTAAAATGGTCGCCTTTGTTTTTTTTGGAAGTTAGTGTGATTTAAATTTTTTAACAAGAACAGGGGTAGTCCATCCCACCTATTTTTTGGAAGTCATGTAATCACTAACAACCCTACTTGTACTTCCTAATAAATATAGAGGCTAGCTAAACAACTTGTACACGTGACTAATGCAGACACACAAGTGTATGCCAAGGCTTTTTTTTTTGTTTCTCTCTTTCTCTACTAACAACCTCTTCCATTAAATTTGTTCCATATGGCTTCTTTCAAAAATAAAAAATCCTAAGTAAATACAATAATAAATAAATAAATTGAGTTAGAGAGATTCATTTTATTGTCATTTTGTACTTTAGACTTTAATTTGATTATAAAATAAATTTAATAGACAACAAACATTCAACATGCGATATGTTCTCAGTATTTACATAGTTTTATACAATAACGAAAAATCATATCGCAATTGCTACTATTTCTTTTAGAAACCTAAAAAACTGTCTTTTCAAAAAATGGGCATGGTTTGTATAGAGCCTAGGCTCTAAACAATTAAAGAAGAGCCTACCTTCAAATAGTGTCGAGAAATATGGTTTCAATACAGGAAACCTTCGTGATAACCTTAAAATATATTTTTATCTTTATTTATAACTTTTAAAACTTAAAAAATAGTGTAGATCATCTATGAAAAATTGAAAATCTTGAAAATTGACAGTCCAAAAATGTGTTATAAAATACACTATTTTCAAAACTTAAAATCCATTTTTTTCTCATGTCCATGCATCTTGATGTTGAGATAATAAATTTGAAGATATTTAGGCAACAAAACGACATCTTCTGTAAAACTTTTGAAGTATGCTCTAATTTGATTGTTTAGAGCCTCGGCTCCATATAAACTTTTCCCTTAAAAAATGTAAATTTTTTAGGAATTGACGTACCGGCCGATTCTCGGATCTAAACTCCAATCCACTGATCCAATACGTTTTTTGGTGTCACCGGTCCGGACACCAAACCGTTTTTGTAATCCCACTTTCAATTTGCGTTCTGTTTCTGCGGGTCTCGCACTGGCTGGCACGCGCGATAGGCTTTAAAGAGGTTTAGATTTATAGAGAGAGAGAGGAGAGAGAGCGAGAGAGAGGGAGCCATTAGAGAGGCTCTTGAGAGGGAAAAAGTGAGCCAGGTGGGTCAGTCATGGATCGGAGGCTTTTGGTGCTTGCAGTCGCACTGATTCTTACAGTTTCTCTGTCATCAGGTGAGAATTCCTTGGGCGCTTTTTTCTATTGCACAGAGAGATGCGTTTGTTTTACTGATAGTGTATTTGAGCCAATGAACTCCCGTTCGAAGGGGATTTGAGCTCATGGAACACTTATCAAAGGGGATCAGCACTGCCTTCTGATGTCCACGCCTTTCCACTTTCTCTTATTCTTCAAGAGTTCAATTTGTGATCAGAGGTCAGTTGAAATGGTAGTGAGAGAATGGAAGGAATTGGTGGATATTTGAGTGAAAAATATCGAAGAATCTCGCTTTGAACGATGTTATTTATGAACATTTTGCTCTTATCATGTATTTATTTCAATGCTCGACTGAGACTGTTTGCATTGAGCCTTGGGATGTAAAAGTAACTGAATTTTTTCCCTATGCAGTCAGCCTAGATGCTCCAGACGCAACCACTGTGATACTTTAAGCTAGAATGTTTTTGATCTCCTATTGATCCTTTAGCCTCTATTTACCAACTTGAACATTTCTGATGGATATCACTAAGCTTGACTCTCTCTCTATCTACTTTTAAAACTGAATTAGTGCTCTAGACCTGGTATTGAACATTTCTTCTTTCTATTGATTCTCTTGTAATGATGCTTTGCCTTTTATTTTTCCAGTTATCGCAAAAAAGTCTGGAGATGTCACGGAGCTACGAATTGGGGTGAAGGTAGATTCAATTCTTTTCCCTGCATTCATATGTGCATAGAAAACCAAAATAATGTCGAGCTTTTTTTTTTTATTTGGGAACAGTAAAATTCAATCCCCAAAATTCTTGTTCTCTTACTTATTTGTATAGAGCTTATTTGTTTTCTGATAGAACAAAATTTTTTAGTTTTTGGGTAGTCTTATCCATATTGCAAGGTTACTTAGTGCTACACCCATTTACTTTCCATCTTTTAAATTTTTGTTTGAGTTGCTGCTAAGCTTGAAAGAATCCAAACATAATTAATTAGTTCTGATAAGAATGATATGCCAGCGGAGGCAGTGTGAGACACTAATACTTCTGATCAACAAGCTATTTCGGAGAAATGGTGGCCCTTTGGCATAGAATGTGTGAGCCTTTGGTCCAAATTGGTTTTGGGTGAATTTTGTAGGTGAGTGTGGTCATAGTTATTATGGATACTCTTTCTAAGAGTTGGCCAAGGATAATATGGTGTCAAGAGCGTGGATTGTCATTATATGTGAGTACTGTGTTTAAGGATGGCTTTAGGTCTAGGGTGGGTAAGGATGGTGTCATTCATGTGTGGCTTACATCTGTTGTGGTGGTTCTAAACTTGATGATTGCTTCTGGTAGTTGATCGTCAATTGTTGGAGTTTGTAAGGGGTTTGGTTGTTTGATTGTTTCTAAATTCAGAAGGCAAAGTTGAGTGGAGGATTGGATCTTATCTTGGGTATTGTGGGAGTTGTTCACATTTTTGCTTGTAATGCCTACTTGAGGTGCAATAGTATCTGGTTTTCGGTTAGGTCCTTTGCTAGATCTCTCCAGGTTGATTTTTCTGATAGACACAATATTTTTGAGTACCAGTGCCTTCAATGTTGTCAAAGTACTTGTATTTGTTGGTCACTTATGGTGAATAAGGTTCTTTCTGGTGACCTTATTCAAGACCTGGGCCTGAAACTTTTGAGTACTTGCTTGATTAGTTGGGTTGTCAAACATGGTTTGTTTGCTTTTGCCTTGCTCCTTTTCCATAGCCATCTGGAGCTTTTTCTTTGATTTGTTCGGTGTCCACCTACAGTTGGTATTTGCTTGATTTTACCTTCTATCCTGGTATTATACAAAACTGTTGCTACATTAGAATATATGCTTTTTCCCTTCGAAGTGATAAACGCCTCTAGTAAGTGGGATTGTATGAGAGATGATCCTAAAGTGACATGTTTCTTTTCTTCTCCATTACACTATTTGTACATAACCCAATAAGGGAAAGCTGCACCATAATGATCCTTGAGATGCGATAAAAGTTTTCTTGAGGAATACATGTGATGTGTTAAGGAAGTCCCTCCTTGTGCAACAATCCCATGGCATGTCTCAATGTCGTCCTTAAAGAAGTGGTATGAGATGAGTTCTACACGAAATCAAATCAATCTTCACTGTGAGACCTTTCCAGGATTGGATCTTAACCTTGCAGACATTATGAGGTGGGTAATGATCTTTGATAATTTTCCCTTAAGTGGGCTAGCCATGTGTGGCGTAGATCCAGTACAACACTTGTTAAGAGGTACGAGTTAGTTCAAGTGGAAGGCTCAAAATGGTCAAGCGGTGGGCCCAAAAGGACATGGTTGGAAGTAGTGAGAAAAGATAAGGGGCATATGACTTTACGGAGGGTATGACCTTTAATAGAGCAGAATGGCAGACCATGATTCATGTAGCCGACCCCAATTAGTTGGAAAAAGGCTTTGACGACAACGACGATGATGATCTTCCACTTCCACTAACCAATAAATGTCTGTACTCCATCTGTCAAGATAAGTATTGAATGCTATAGTGGTGGTGGAACCTAGACTTTCCATGACCCAAGAGTGGCCCACAATAGTAGATTGAGTGCATACTCGTCTATAACTAACACTCATTCCTTGCTTTCTTGCCGTTCCTCTTGAACCTACCAAATCAATGACATTTTCTTGACACTAAATAACATCACATCTCATTGTCCAGACACCTGTATGCCATTGCTTGTGCCCCTTAAAAAGTTCTCTAGTAACATGTCTTAAGATGGGGAGAAGGAATGTTTTCAGGGCCCTTCTTGCACATCCCATTAGACCTCAACCTTTTAAAACCATATATGTTTTGACATGCATCTTGACTCATCATCATAACCTTTTCCTAATTAATTGGGGTCGGTTAAATAGGTTTTGTAAAATTTTACATTGGCTGCCTACTTAACACAACCCGACCCCTTTACCCGGGCATGGGATGGGTTAAGGAAAGTTTAAGGTCCTCACCCTTCTTAGACCATTTCTGTTTTGACATGCATTTTGATTATTGAGCAAAAATAGATCAGCATATTACAGAGGGAAGATTTTGTTAGTATCTTCTCTATAGTTATTGAAAGCATATTCTAATTTTTTACTTCGCAATCTTCATTGTAGAAGCCAATTGCTAGTGTTTACTTGCTTAGTTTCTCATTTGATTGGAGTTGACTTGGGGTGAGTCCCGTAACAACTTGGGCAGTCTGTGAACTATGGGCTAAACCCATTCAAGTACCTGTAAGGAGATTGAGGCCTATATTATTAACCTCACTTTGGTTTCAAAGGCATTATGGGCCAAACTATGAGGTCTTACTATTATAGGGTATTTTTCGACACTTGTATCCCGGGCGAAAATAATGAGGAAGCTAGTTGAGATCTAGGCTTGTGGGTACCAAAACGCTTGCAGACTATGGAAGCATTGGTAGAATAAACCCTGATCTGGAGTGAATTTTGAAGGGTGTCAGATTGGTCCCAAAAGGCATGTTAAGGTGGCATTTGACTCCTTAAGAACACACGCCAAGTATCGTTGCGATCTGATGAAGTTTAGACGGATTAGATGAAAAACCAGTTTTTAAATTCAGCTCCTAACCAGTTGAAAAAGCACCTCATAACTACAATCCATTAGCGGGGTCTCCGAGGAGTATCAGACTGCTTCCATTCGATTTAAAAGGTCCCTTAGATATCAAGTTTCAGCTCATTCGGGATCTTTTGGACCATTTTATGGCCAACTTACCCGAAAAGGGTAGGTTTTACACTATTCTGGTGCACCCTCAGTGAAACTGTGCCTTATGATTTCAGGATCATCTTCTAAGGGCTGTAACTTCTATGTTTTAAGCCCAATCAAGCCCAAAATTCAGGATGTTTTTTATCTCGCCAACGTGTAGGTTTTGATATATGGCATGGCCCGTGGCATGGCTCGAGATGGAAGAAATCCAATAGAGAAGTTGCACAAAAAAACTCATGTGTTGCAGATTTTTGCAAGATGGAGACCCCCTCGATCAAATGGTCATATCACAAAGCCTCGACCTCGGATCGTCTTGAAAATAGGTTCGCTACGATTGTGACATCAAGGGCTTCGATTCAAAGTAAACATCACATGTGATAAAAGACCAAAAGTGCTGTATTTTGAAATTGCAAAAAGGGAAATTTTCCAGCGATTGGAATCCATATTCCGACAACTGCCCCAATTCGGAAAGTGATGAATCGGTGACCAAATCGAGTCATTTTTGTCGCAAAACGACCATAGCGGCCTCCCTGTCATTCTATGATGAAAGGATCGGCCCAAACCTGCAAAGAACGAACAAGATTAAGCATTCAAGATTGCAAGATTTCCATCTTTCACCGGATTTCAAGAAGGGTCCGAAATTTCGATTCAAGGATCGAATTATATGTCAAACGATTGTCTTTTACGGTACTATTTTTGTCAGAAGGTTGTCAGAAGGACCCGAAATGAGCCCCGAACGATCACCATAGCCCATTGTACCTTTTTGGGGGCCTTCTCGTCATTTCTAAGCCCCAAAAACGGGATTTAGTTTTAATTCATAGAAAATGTAATTTTTGACAATTTGGTTTAATTTTGAGAATCTACCCTTGTTTCAAGGGGATGTTATATAAGCATCATATGCTCATTTGTAGCCCTAAGTTCAAGAAACTCAAATGAAGCTTGATGTTAGGCAAGAATTAATCAAATACATTGAGCTTCCTCCCTTAGTTGGTGATTTTTGATTCCACATTCTTCATCCCAAACGGAAGAGGGAGAAAACTTTTGCTTATTGAGGACTACCCTTAGACTTCCCACTTCTCACTTCCAATCTAAGGTAACCTCTCCCTTATGCTCTATTTCTCTCTCTTCTTTTCTTTCTCTCTCCCATCCTCTCGTTTTGTTCTGTCTTGGTCTCTGTCTCCCTTTCCTCTTCTCTCTTCTATTCCTCTCTTTTCTCTCTCCCTCTCAAGTCCAAGTACTTGGCCCGCACCTACAGGCCGACCCAGTCTCTTATTCTCTTCTCCTCTCCCTTTCCCTCTCTTACTCTCTTCTCTTTTTCTCTCTCAAGCTCAAGTTTTGGACCGGCACCTAGAGGCGAGCCCAACTCTCTCTTACTCTCTTCTTCTCTCTTTCTCTCTGCCTCTCTCCTCTCTCTTTCTCTCTTCCTCTCTCTTTCTCTCTTTTCTCTCTCTCTCAAGTCCAAGTACTGGGCCCGCACCTAGAGGCGGGTCCAACTCTCTCTTACTCTCTTCCTCTCTCTTCTTTCTCTTTCTCTCTTCCTCTCTTTCTTTTCTCTGTTTCTCTCAAGTCCAAGCACTTGTCTCGGACCTAGAGGCAGGCCCAGCTCTTACTTTCTTCTCTTTCACTCTCTCTTTCTCTCTCTTCCCTCTTTCCCTCTCTTCTTTCACTCAGTCTCTCTCTTGTCTAGAATGGCGTGGGCTCGGCTTTCTTTCTCTCCCTTCCTATCATATTGTTCTCTCTTGTTGTCTTTCTCTTTTCTTCTCTCCCTTTCTCTCTTTCTTTCTTTCTCTCTCCTCTCTTCTTCTCTTTCCTTTTTCTCTCTCAAGTCCAAGTACTGGGCCCACACCTAAAGGCGGGCCCCAGCTCTCTTACTCTCTTCTTCTCTTTCCCTCTCTTCTCTCTTTCCCTCTCTTCCTTCACTCAGCCTCTCTCTCGTCTAGAGTCACGAGCCTGGCTCTCTCTCTCCCTTCCTCTCG